GCCGAGCAGGGAGCCCGACGCGGGGCTCGATCCCAGGACACTGGGATCACGACCTGAGCCGAAGGCAGCCGCTTAACCGACTGAGCCACCCAGGCGCCCCTAGCTCACTTTCAACTATACACTATTTCTACCTCGGAACTCTTATGAATCCGATTGACACCATGAGAAATTCGGTCTTCAGTTCAGCCAAGGGGGGAAGCATCTGCGGAACTGTCCCACATGTCTCCTCTTGGGATCATTTCATCCCCGTAATTGGGCTTCAGTGTTCAAAGTCTCTATGTCAATAGTATTTAATTTAATCAACCCCACATTCATCAAGCAGTGTATTATAAACGGAAGCTTATGTTGGAATTCCTATTAACTTGCATTTTTAAAATGAGTACTTGAGGATTCAGAATGGCCACTTTGGGCGAAAAATATGACTATAAAAATAAAAGCTAATAATTAGAAACATGCTTGACATTTCCCCTTCCTACCTACACTTATGTGCTCCTGCTGACACTGCATTTCTGCCTAACGAACTCACACGCCTTCATCAGCCACAGCAGGCTTCTGCCAGGCTCCATCATCCTTTCAGGCCTGTTCCTAATTTCTGTCACTACTGGGGGTCGCTATGGGGGTCAGTGTAGAGAACACATCTCATAGGTTTATGGCCAAAGCTAAACAAGTAACATTTCAACTCTTACCAAATACCAGATACTAAAGATGTATAAATCAGTCCAGGCTGCTACAGCAAAATATCATGGACAGGGTGGCCTGCGACAGACATTTACTTCTCACAGTTGTGGAGGCTGGAAGTCCAAGATGGAGTGTTGGCAGATTCACTTCCTGGAGAGAGTTCTTCCTGGCTTGCCGACAGCCACCGTCTCGCCGGCTCCTCACATGACAGGGAAAGAGAGAGCTCTGATCTCTTTTCGCTTTGTCTTCTTATAAAGGACACAAATCCCACATGTCATGGGGACCCCACCCTTATGACTTCACGTAAACTTCATCACCCCCCAAAGGCCCCATTTCCAAATTTCATCACATTGGTGGTTAGGGCTTCGACATAAGAATTTTGGGGAGACACAGGCATCTGGTCAATAACAAAGGGCAATGAAAAAAATTTTCGTCTTTTCATCCTCTGAATGGAAATGACATGAGTCTGCGTAGAAAAGGAAGCACACTTTTTTGTCTTTCCCATTGACTTTTGTTGCCTCTTTTTGATCTTTGGTTATTGATCTCCCTAAAAATGCACTTTGCCTAGTTCTCAGAGGTGGTGATCCCGATTAAGATTGTCTTAGTCTGACTCAAAGTTTTCACCTAAAAGAACAAGTTTCAGGAAATTTCACAAACAGCATGTTTCCACATTTCTTGATTTGTGGTTAGTTTATCACAGGGGAGACATAAAACTTAACATTTTAGAAAGGATAATTCCTCTTTTAACCAAAAATAATGAAACATGTATAAAACTTAGACTCTCTTATGGTAGAAACATAGGTTCTCAGTAAATATGTATTTATTGAACAAATAAATTAAGGATGATGATATTTCAGTTAGCTAAAAGGTTTCAAAAGTTTCCTTCCAGGTTTGCGAAAATTAAGTGAATAATATATAACACATAGTCAAAAGTTAGAGAACTCCTCATTTTCTTCCCTATGTGTTTCTACTTTTCTTTATCCTTTTTTCCTCCTTTTTTGTCTTTCTTTGTGGTCACAGTTTACTGACTTTTGTAACTCTTTTAAAAAGATGTAATTTTATGGAATTTACACTTCTAACTTTTTGCCCAAATCAGACTATATAGATAAGATCTAACAAGTCAGTGAGCCAGGAAGCTGAGAATAGAAAGGAAATGTAAGTCTTTCACTGATATCTCTCCTTCATGTTTATGGTTTTCCTGTCTGCCACTCTAGGTCTTCTATAATATCAAGTCAATTGGTTAATTTTTCAGAACCAGGTAGTCCGATCGAGGACAGGACAAAACAAATAGAAAAAAATAAGCTTCAGAAGAAGCCACTTCTAGAGACAGAGCGTTCCCTGGTTGCTTTAAACTAGAGGAGGTCACAAAATGCATTCAGGATATTTCTCACAGTAACTTCTATAAATATCACATGTTCACCATGTACCAGATACTGTACTAAGCACTCACACACATTATTTCATTTAGAACACAAAGGAACGTCTTGAATCTGTTTTTCATATAAGGACCCAGACCATTTATTAAAACAGTTTAGTGGATGATGACTGGTATTTTTTAAAAAAAATAGAATAAATTCAATTAGAAAAAAGCACCGTGACTCCCATATTATAATGACAAGTACTGCTTCTTAAATTGTTTTGTTTCAGTACACGCATGAATATTTGTGTGTGTGTACATTGAGTCTTAATGTAAACGGTATTTTTTGACTGATAGTTAAACACTTCAAAAGCCCTGCCCCATAAAGTAGTATTATGATCTTAATATTTAGAGGGAAAGTGAAAAGATCCAGCTTTATAACTATAACTTCCAAAGTTCTTGAATCAATTAGCTTCCAGAGAGTTTTTAATGGCCCCTAAGATAACGTTAGTGTTGTCCTTGCTTCATTACTGTCTCTCTCATGGTTTGCATTTACTTAGCATCAAGGCAGCCCTAACACAGGGTGATTAAATCTCCTCAGATCAGGCCATCTGTGCCACTGAGTAAGTGAGATACTTCAAATAAGTGAATGATGAATTCTGTTCCAGACTGTCCCATAAAATTATAATAAAAATAATAATGAAGTGCTCTCTAATAAAAAGAAAGTCGTTACAAATACTGTGCTATTGATTTCAAAGGGCAGTAATTTCAGAGGCTCTCTTTCATCTGTGTTATAAATCTCAGCAACCAGTGGAGAAAATGTCAGGATTTTAAAAGCAAACAAATAGAAGAAAAAAATCGCCTCGCTGTTCATCTTTCATGCTGTTTTGAGTAAAACTAAGGTAGCACAAATATTTAAACAGATGGCTCGAGATATGCTTTTTTCTTTACTAATCATAGTTATTAAAGCACTCACTTTATTTTTATTGTGTTTTAAACGGGCAGAGAAAATCTGAGTCTGATAATGACCTTTGTACATCATGCTGCAAATTGATTTTGATGACCTTTCACTCTCCAATAATTAGGCTGGCTTCATGCACATTCATCTCCCCCTCTCCTCTCTAAGTGCGTGCTGCAGTGTTTTTTTCCTAGCGTCCCTCAAAACCTTATCCTCCGCCCCTTCTCCTAGCTTTGTCTCCATCATTGCTGGATTGGGTTTCTATCTCTTCCCTGAAAGCCAGAGATTCTTGAATAAAGAATGAATAGAGGTATTTAGAGGCTGACAAAAAGGAAGAATAGTTACTTTACTGATGTTTTGAATGATCAAATATCTGAATTGTCATGTAATTATGACCATTACAATGATGTCATTGCCAAAGTCATTTGGCAATTGGGTACATTGTGTTGAAGACTTATTACCGCATTGAATTATATCTTGGTAGTTTAATGAATTTTATAAGGGTGTTGCTTTGTGGCTAATGTGAACAGATGGTAGAAGTGGAAAAGAAATAAAGTATGCCTCATTTTCCTTTACATTTTCTCTGTTATTATGCTCTGAAATTAAGAACATCAGACTAACACACATTTATACAGACATATTTTTAAATCATAATCTTTAAAAATACATTTGTCAGACATCCCCAAATCCCATATTTTCTGCTTTCTGTAGGCTTATTTTTGTCACTTTTAAACTTACGGTAAAGTATACACAACATATAATTTCCCATTTGAACCGTTTCAATGTACACTTCAGTTGCGTTAAGTACATGCACAATATTGTGCAACCATCACCACTGTCCCTTGCCAGAACTTTTCATCACCTCAAACCTTGAGACATATTTTGAAGCAAGTACATTTTTAGTCCATTAGGAAACTTCTCTCTCTTCCTTATGTAAGCTTCACTAAATCATATTCTTCACATAATCGTTTATACATGAACCCCTAAGTCTGAGGTTAATTATGAATGTATTTTCCTCAGGACTACAGAATTTCAGAGAATAGCTTATTGAAGAATAGTAGCACAAGAAGCTTTGCAGGTGATGATAGCTAGCGTTTATGGAACACTTATTTTGAGGGAAGCACTAAACTAATTACTATACATGTTAAGGAGAAAAATTAGATCCCCAAAACACTGCTTACAACATCCCTTCAGGCAAAGGGGATGTTGTTATTATTAAGTTGACCTTTCCTACAAAAATATAACAGTTGAGTTTTTCAAGCATATGAGCACCAACCCACAAGAAGTAAGACCATAAGCAAACTGGACCCCACCTTGAGAGTTTCCAGGTCCCACTATTGCTCCGTTCCTTTCCTGGTCAGGGTTGAACCAGGGAAACAGAAATCAGACTATGATTTTTAAACGGAAGAAGGTTAATACAAGAAATCTGGCACAGGAGTGATGGTAATGCCTAAAAGCCAACAGGAGATTGCTAGGCAGCCCATGTATTAGTAACCACAGGAGCTATTACTAGGCTGCTGGACCAAAGTGGCAAATGCAATGTTAGGAGGGCCCAGGGGCAGGGGTCACCTCCTGAAACCTGGAGCCATGAAAGAGACACCGCCATTTTTGTTGTTGTTGTTGTTGTTGTTGTTGGACACATGCTCCCATGGAGAGAGAGGAGGAGAAATCTTCTGATCTCTCTCTTCCTCATATGTTTTAATCGCCCTACAACTCTTCCATTGGCCAACCCAACCAGAAGTCATGTGACAAGTAGCCTGGGACACAGCTTGAATGGAAGAGCAACGAGCCCCCAAGGTATGACAAAGAACAAAGCAGGGGAAGGGGAAGGAAGGGAATTAAGGGCAACTGGGTCAAAGACTTGCCCTAACTTGCCAAATCAGGAAATGGTGAACTCTCTTCGAACAAAGATGAACAGAGGAAAATGTAGAAAGATTGATGGAAGGCATGTTGAACTATCAAAGAAAAGCGTTGACAAAACTTCCCAAAGAGGATGCCACCTCTCACCTTGTAATCCTTGATTCTTTTCTTTTTTCTCATTCCTTACACCCAAGTGGCAAGCAAGTCTTTTCTGTATCCTCCAATACATGTCTTCCATCCAACTACTTACACCACCTCCATTGGTACCATCATCTCTCACTGGAAGTTTCACAATGATTTCCTAACTGGGTTTAGCCTTCTCATTTTTTCCTTATGTAAAAAAAAAAAATTGAGGTACACTTTACATACAATGAAATGCACGGATCTTGAATTCTGAAGAATGTATCCCCTACATAATCAATACTCCAATCAAGATATACAACTTTCCCACCACCTTTTCATCACTTTTCACCAGAAAATCCCCTCATGTCCATTCAATTCACCAAACTCCACCTCTCATAAGCAACCACCGTTTCACTTTTTACCACCATGCATTTGTTTTCCCTGTTAGTAAACTTCATATCAATTGAATCATACAGCATGTATTCTCTCATACCTTTGTCACTCATCCTAATGTTTTTGAGATTCATCCATGTTGTTCTGTGTCTTTTATTAATTTCTGATTAGTATTCCATTTTGTGGATATACTACAATATGTTTACTCATTCTCCTGTTGATGGACATCTGGACTATTTCCAGTTTTTTTTTGTTATTATGAGTAAAACTGTTATAAACTTTCAAGCACAAGTCTTTTTGGGGACATATGTTGTCATTCTCCTGGGTAAATTCCTAGAAGTGGAATTGATTGGTTGTATGATAAATGTATGGTAAGTATAAGTAAAATGCTAAGCTGTATTCTGAATTCATAGCACCATTTTACACCCCCTCCACCAAGAATTCAAGTTGTTCCACAAACTTGAAAACATTGATATTGCCATTATTTTTAATTTAGCCATTCTAGAGGATGTGCAGTAGGATCTCATTGTAGTTTTAATTTGTGTTTGTCTGACGATGAACGATTTTGACATTTTCATGTGCTTTTCGGCCATTCATATGTTTTCTTCTGTGAAGGGCCTGTTCAAGTTTTCATCCGTTTCTTATCTATTTATTGTTATTAAAGTGAGTTTTAATAGTTCTTGATACATTCTAAACTCAAGTCTATTTCTTCTAGCCTGAGGCTTGTATTTTTATTTTCTTAAGTCCATGCTTTTAGGTTACAGTTTTGATGAAGTCAAATTTTCTATTTTTTTTTCTTTTATGGCTAGTGTTTATTACCTTCTATCTAGTCATTGCTTACCCCAAAGCCCTAAGGATATTCTGTTATGTTTTCCTCTAGAAATCTTAAGGTTTTAGCTTTTACATTTAGGTCTATAATGCATCTTGATTTTTTTTGTATCATATGAAATGGGGGCAGAGTCAAGACTCATTTTTCCTTCATACATTTATCCAGTAGTTCCAAAACTATTTGTGAAAAGAGTTTTTTTCCACATTAAATTGCCTTGGTGTGTTGTTAAATAACAAATAGACCTGTTCTCAAATACATATATTTTTGGATTCTCTATTTCACTGAACTATTTATTTATCCTTATTTTTCTACCATTTCCTTGATGTGTACTACAGCTTTGTAGTAAGTGTTGCAAACAGAGTCTATTTCCTCCAATTATCTTTCAAGTATATTTTAGTTTTTTTTTCTTTTTGCACTTCCATATAAATTCTAGAATCAGCTTGTCAATTTCTACATAGAAAAGTCTGATTAGGTTTTGATTGGACTTGTATCACACATTAATTTGGGGGAGAATTGACACTTTTACATCATCAAGTCTTCCAATCCATTCCCATAGCATATCTTTCTATTTGTTTAGAAATTCTTCAATTTCCCCAAGCAATGTTGTGTGGTTTTTGGTGAAGAGTCTTGCACACATTTTGTTTATTTCTATACTTAAAAAAAATTGGGGGGGGCTACAAGAAATAATATCTGTGATAGTTCACTTCCAAGAAAGTTCCTGTAGATTTTCAGTTCTCGGTATGTTTACCAGTGTGTGGGCATTCCCCACTGTATAGAGCTAACCTGTGTGACCAAGAAGACATTTCAGGGATGACTGAGCAGGACTTCCCAGGCTCAATTAGAAATGAAACTGTGATTTCCGCCTTAATCTCTTTTGCTGTGGTGGAAGCTACTGCCACAGGATGAGGACACCCAAGAGGTCCTATGGAGAAGCATGTGGGGTAGGGAACCCAGAACTCTTGCCAGTAGCCAGCATCAACTTGCCAGCCATGTGAATGAGCCTTCTTGGAAGGAGATCTTCCAGTCCACTCCAGCTTTCAGAATCCTGCCACTCTGGCTGACATCTTGACTGAAACGCCTTGAGAGACCTTGCACCAAAATCATCCAGTTCAGTTGTCCCCAAATTCCTGTTGCGTAGAAACTGCATGAGATAATATATATTTATTAGAGTTTTCAGCCATTACATTAACAGTAATTTGTTATGCAGCAATAGATAGTATAATGTTTTTTAAGTTTTATTTTCTAATTGTTTCTTGCTGGTATATAGAAATAAAATTGATGTTTTTACGCATTGACTATGTATCTTGTGACCTTGCTAAATTCATTTATTAGTGCTAGTAGTTTGTTTGATAGATTTGTTAGAATTTTTTAATGTAAACAATCAAGTCATCTGCAAATAAAGCAGTTTTACTTCTTCCTTCCCGGTCTTTCTGCCTTCCATTTATTTTTTCCCTACTGCAATGGACAGGGCTTGGAGAACAGAATCCATTAAAAGTGGTCATAGCACATATCTTTCCCTTGTTCTGATTCTGAGGGAAATGTTCAATTTTTCATTGAAAGCAAGTATGATGTTAGTTGCCATTTTTCATAGATGTCTTCTATCAGATTGAGGAAATAATCATCTATCTATATAGTCTGCTGAGATTCTCATTATAAACGAATGTTCACAAGGTTGTTGTCTTTTAAAGAAATTATAAGAAAAGATACTCTCTTATATTTGGCCACATTTCCAGAGTTACCATTTCCAGAGTTCTTCATTCTTTTCTTTACATCTGGGTATTATTTCTCTTCACCTTGAAGAGTGAACTTCAGCATTTCTTAAAGGTAGATTTACTGGCAAAAGATTCTTTCAGCTTTGGTTTATCCAAAAATGTCTATTTTACATCCCCTGAAAAAAAAGATTTCTTCAGAAGACTTTACCCTGTCAACACTTACTTAATTTACTCATATTTCCTCCTACTAGAAGGTGAGTTTGTTGAGGTCAGTAGCCTTCTCTTGTTTACTTCTCTGCATTCCCTTCACCTGCAACTGTGCCTATCACAAAGTATTGGCCAATTTGTTGGCAGAAAGAAAGAAGGAAAGAAAGAGAAAGAAGAAAAGAAGGAAGAAAGGGAGAAAGGCAGGCCACCCCAAGAAGGGCAGCTCTGGCATGAACATTATTTTGAGTAAAAAGCAACCCAAACCCAGAAAGTTCAGGCAACGCTCCTTACCTCCCCCCTAAACCGCCTGTCTATACTGGGAAGAGACCTATTAACAGAGATTTGTCTTTACCCAAGAAACTCTTCTACATAATAGGGCAACCTTTTCTTCCCTAAACATTTCCTTTTACCTTCCTGCTCATGGTCTTTCTCCCTTTTGTATCATATCCCTGTCCTTAGCTCATATAAGCTTCATGTTGGCCAACTATCTCTGGAATTTCCATGTCTGGGTGGAGTCCCCATATGTAAGCTATTAAATTTGATTTTCTCCCGTTAATCTGTCACATGTCAATTTGATTCTTAGTCCAGCTAGAAGGACCTTGAATGGCAAGGAAATTCTTCCTCCCCAACAAAAGGAAGGAAGGAAGGATGGAAGGATGGAAGGAAGGAAAAGAGGAAAGGAAGAAAATTAACTAGCACTGCTATCTATAGTCTCTATACAAATGTTTGGGTTTGACACTTCTTAAAATATCCGTTGTATTAATCAGGTGTTTGAGTGGCACAAATTAGCTTGCTTACAATGGCAATAAAACATATTTGGCATGAAGGAGGTAAAGGAAAATTCCAAATATATTTAGGCCTCCAAAAATTTATAATACATTTTAAGGTATGAAATAATAATTTATTATGACCTTGCTATTATACATTTGTGTGTGTGTGTATCTCTTTATCTATAGATAGATTATGGGATATATTCCCTATTTCATATTCCATATGGAATACATTCATGGAAACCTTATAAGTATAAAGGAAGCATATAATATTTATTATAAATAAATACTACTCATATATACACAATCATCCTTAAAATTACTGGCACTTTTTCAGAATGTGCATATAATGGTTCTGTACCTAATGAAAAGAAAACATGCACAGGGCCTGGGAGGAAAAAATTGGTGGAAGGAGGCAAAGATAAAGATGACAGGCTTCACATAAGAGGGGAACGAAGTAATAGGTACTAATAGAGTCCATTGACAAAGATATATTTGATGGGAACTATTTTGAAAACATGCATGATTCTAAATAACCACTTTAAGGTAACAGTGATTTCTACACCTGCAAAAGGGAAATAACTTCTAAAGAATGTCATTTATATTGTTCACAATATGATTATAAATCAACTAAGAATCCTCATCTGCAAAACATCAGGCTTAGGCTGAACATCAGTAAAATTTATTTTCTCAGAAGAAATGCTGTGGAATTCAAATTCTGAAGTTGTAGCCTCCATTGTTCTATAGGACAATACTCTAGGACAAGACTGGAAACGTTGAGGTTTGGGTTATTTAAGATGTGCCTGGGCAAAAGGCTGTACCATAAACTATACAGATCAATTTTGTGGAGAGAGACGTCAGCCAGGTGAGTGAACAGGGCTTATTCATCCCTAATCTTGATGCAGAACAATGCTTGATAGAGCAGCGTCGTGAGAAAGTTTTAATTTTTAAAAATTTTTTTTAAAGATTTATTTACTTATTCATTTATTCATTTATTTAGAGAGCAAGTGCAGGGGAGGGGCAGAGGGAGAGAATCCTGAAGCAGACTCCTGCTGAGCCCGGGGAGCGCTATGCATGGGGCTGGATCCCAGGACCTTGAAATCATGACCTACGTTGAAACCAAGAGTTGGATGCTCAACTGACTGAGCCCCCCAGGCACCCCGTGAAAGGTTTTAAATGAAAATACTTGGTATGGGTAACTTGGGAGAGATAAAAGATGCCAGAGTGTAGGCTTGGAAGACAGACTTGGGTTCAAATGTAGGGTGGGCTTTCTCCCTTGTTTACCATGACAGAACGAGTTTAAGTCTGATGTCCCTTTTATTCTCAA